GCCAGCAGTGGGAGCAGAGCAGCTCCCCAGACAAACCCCCCTGGCTACAAGCAGACTATTGTGCCTCAACTTTAGCAGAGCTGGCTGGGGCTGGAGTAAAGGCTGCCTCTTCCATATCTGAATGATGCTGAAAGTTGCTGGGTCGTGCAGCATCCCCTGGATGATGAATTGTTGGAGCAGGCTGGGACTAGCAGCCCTGCCTGAGCACAGCCAGCCCTGCAGCTGAGCCCCTCGGGGTGCAAGGCAAAGGGGACTCTGCCCCATGCTAATTAAAACTCTTTTCTCAACTTCTCCTTGGCAAAGTGCAAAGAAATCCTCTCTTCGTGCCTGACAACTAAAAATAAATCCTATTTTGGGTTTCAGAAGCAGCCGCATGACTAAATGAGCCCTTCAGTTTCATTCATGTTTGCTGTCTATTAATCTGTTCTCCTCACCCTCAGCAGGGTATGACTCAGGGCTTCACATTGTCTTCCTCCCTGAACTATCTGTGTTTTGACTTTAAATTCTGCTGTCTGACGCAAAGCAGTGCTGAAATCATGACAGTTTGATCCAGCCAGCTCCCAGGAGACTCTTGATCTTTACTGGCTGGTAAATGTAGCACTCAGAACAGCTATGCAGAGCAGATATCGATATTTTTACACCAAATATTGGTAAGCAGATGTCACAGGCTTGTGAAAAGCCTTGAAACTCCACGGGAGAAATATGTGAGTATGTGTGTGGGAGGCCTGGAGTTAAAAATAATTCTGTGGTTCTATGAGAAGGCATATATTCCTTAATCCGTTGGTGTTTTGCTATTCCTGTGCAGGGTACTCAAAGTGGAGGCTGCTGTACTGGAATAAGTATAGCAGTAAACTCTTTCCCTGTCGATTCATTTGCTGCTTTTGCAGCTCCTTCCAGCCCAGGCTTCTCCACCCCTCTGGCCCTGGCTGAGCTGACAGATCCCATGAGCAGGGGGTCTCTCCTGTGGGGTGCAGCCTGATTATCCCAAGCTTCAGGCATCCCATAGTAATTGCAGGTCACTGGGCGGGTAGCAGCAGCGGCAGCGGGGCTGGGCTCTCCTGCAGCACTGGAGAGGCACTGGAGGGGTGGCACAGCCCTGGGAAGGACTCTGAGCAGGCGTGGCACAGCTGAGCCCAGCCCTGGTGCAGAGGGGGTGAATGATGATTCCCTGGCACACCCCCACGTGCAGGGGGGCAGCCAAGCCTTGCCCAAGGCTCCTCTGCTGTTATTTATTTTTTTTTAATAAGCGGGCAGCCTGACAGCCTGAACTTGTAAATGTTGGATAAAAGTCCAGATTTGGGGTTTTTTTTGTTTTTCCTTAGCTTTTACTGCTCTTGAAATGTCCCCTGAGGGAGGTGTGTAGGGCAGGCTGCTGTTAAACCTGCTTAATCTCGTTGCAGTGTTGAATAAAGCCCTGTGATCTACAGTCAGTGGATGCTTGTCTTGACATCCCTGCTTTTAAAGGACTGTGGTTAAAAACTGCAAAACCCTTATTTTTTCCTTACAATGCTGTATTTATCCCTCCCCTTATGGCTTTGGAAATGAAATTTGGGCCATTTATTGTACACTAAATTTAGGGAGGCCAAAAATATTTGCATACAAATGTGATAGATCTTTCAAGCATGCAAAATGAGCAGAAAATGATGAGTCTGATGTTGGATACAAGCAGAGCTGAAGTATTTGAAAATTAAAATAATTTAAAAGAATCTGTATCTATGATGGCAGATGAGCTTTTTCTGAGGAAAGAAAACCTCCTCTTTCTCATTATATTCAGAGTAAATGAAGATATTCAAGTCAGATATGGACTGAATTTTAAATGTGACAATGGCATTTATTCTGCAGGAGATGTCATGTCTGTAATGAATTGTAAATTATTTTTAGTTGCCACTAGAAACAGAAGAATGGAGGGAAATAATCAATATTGACACAACCCTGCTTTATTTTTAAGCAGTGCTGATCTTGGTGGCACCAATTAGAGGAGGAGAGAGCTTGAGCTGCAGGGCTGCAAACCATTCTGGTGTTTAGAAAAGGGCCACAGCACCCGAGAAATGTGCTGCCTCCCTGTTTCTGCTGGGAGGGTGATCCCAGCAAGATCATCATTCCATCCTCTGCTGGAAGCTGGGCAGGTGTGCTGGGAGCCACGGACTGCTGTGGCTCTGGCCACCACCACCCCCTGGTTCTGGTGTGTCCTGGGCACAAGGACAGTGACCCCAGGGCCCTTTGCCAGACCATGCTTCCTCCTCAAGACAAGCTCCCTGGCTTTTCTTTTCCCACTGACTGTGGGGATGATGATATTCCAGCTGGGGTATGACAAAACAGAGTGGGCTGGAACCCTCCAGCCTCTGTTTGCTGCAGTGAAGTTCCCCTCCCAACCCCATGCCCCTTTTTCTCGCATGAAATGAAAGCAAAGCCTTTTGCTGCAAGGTGCAGGGTTGATTGATTAACTTTTGTCTTCTCATGATGCATGACTAGGTAAGGGAGAGCATGTGACAAGGCAAGCTGTTCAGAGAAATCACTGCAGATAGAACTGGGCTGTTCCCAGGATCCACAAAAGGATGCACATGGTCAAAATTCACTCAGAAAAACAAGATTACCCTGCTCCTCTGCTTAAGCAGTTGACATTGAGCTAATCCTAATGCAATTTCCTAAAATTGAGAGATGCTGTGATGTGATCTTACTGTTGTATAAAATGCCATGGAACTTCTGATGACAGAACAGATCCAATTTTCAGCCGCATGACTCATTCTGAGGAAAAGAATGCTGTACATTCAATATGACCAAAAAAAGTACATTCAGTCAGGCCCTCCTTACAGGGCTGTGTGGATGCAATCCATCGTAAGCACAAAGTCCAGGCAACACTTTTTGATATGGAGTAAAACTGACAGATGGATTCTAGGGAGCCTTTGGAAAATTTTATCCACTGAACCCAGAATAGCCACAGCAGAGACCTAAGCCAAGTGTCTGGCTGATTTATATGCTGTAAATCTGAGGTGAGTGGTTGAGGAGGATGGAATCTTGCTGATGTGCCAGATAATTTGGGTTGTCTGAAATGTGCTCTAATGCAGAAGATCAGGGATAGATGGATGGGGTTCAACAGGATGATTTAATGGGAAAGGATTTGCTCCATAAGTATTAGTCATTTGGTGACAGAATGCACAAGAGCCTGCTGGAAACACCTGCAGAAGCACAAGAAAATTCCTGAAAGTCTGAATTGAGTAATTTTCTGCTGGGTGTTTTTTGTTATTATTTTGTTTGCTGGTTTTGATTACATTGAGTATTCTGTGCATGGACTGAGGTGTATCAGTGGCAGCAGTGTCTGCAGAGCTGTGTTTTGTGGGCATGCAGAGCCCTGCTGGAGGGGATGTGGTGGTCAGCAAGACGTGCCCAGCTGCTCAGAGGGCACTTGGACCTTGCCCTCTGCTGACTGCAGCAGTGCCTTTGTTTCCCTTCCTCAGGGCTGCTATCATGGGCACTAATGCAATATTTTTTGGGCTCTTTTCTTCCTGGGTCTGGTAATGAAAGTGCACGTGTTGGATGGAATCTGGGGCCAGAATAAAGCTGCTGCTGCAGAGTTTCAGCACAAAAACTGGTACTGTATTTTACTCGTAAAACTGCATGAGGTGAAACAAGATCTCTATTTCCAGATCTCCATGTCAGCTACAGCAAATGCAGCCAGGACTTTCTTGTTGTCTGTTCATGGCTACAATTATTTCTAGCTTACTGTTCTTACAATAATTTAATTTTGTAATGTTTATTGGCTTGGAAGGTACATTCATCCTAGTTGTTTTCTTGCATTTTGTGCTGTAAAAGGTCAAAATTGTCAGGAAAGATTTATTTTTGGGGAAAAGGAATCCTTATTTAAAAGCCAAAGCAAAAAAACCTTTCTGTAATAGAGAGGAAGCAGAAGGAGCAAGCTAAAACTCTGAGCTATCAGCTGAAGCCATGTGTTACACCTTGTGTTTTGTGATTTATGGCATGGTGGTCTTCACTCACCCCACTGATCCAGGCGTGCAAGTGCTGCCCTTTTTGAGTGCTGAGAATGGAGGTAAAACCACTAGGGCCTTTTCAGCATTGCCTGGCAGTGCCCCAGGGATGGGTAGTCCCTCTCTGGCTCCATCCCCATCCAGAGGAGTGCCAGCCTGGCCCCTGTCCCATGCCACAGCCGCTACAGCCAGGGCACACAGCCTGGGATGGGAGCTGCTGGAGCAGCAGGAACCTTCTGCCTTGTATTTCCCCAGTGTGCTCCAGTTCATCCACCTACCTCAGACAAACAATGGAGGGGTGTCCTTCCCCCTGAGGAGCACCCATCTCTAGTTGGTCCAGAGCTCCAGGGCCTCCCACACCTGATGACAAGGCCATGAACTACCCCTGCCCTGTGACAGAGCCCGGAATGTGCCACAATAGCTCAGTCAATGAACTAAAGAGAAAAAAAAAAAAACAAAAAAACCCCCAACCCTGCAGGCCATAGCTGTCTTTTCGCCGTCTCCTGCCAAGGTATGGGCACAGCCAGGCACACACACACTGACCCTGGGGTGCAGAGTCATCCTCAGAGCAGGGCTCGCAGCCACCTCCAGCCCCGCGTGTCCCCAGCTTCCTCCTGCCGCTCAGCGCTGGGCGTGTGCCCTCCTGCTGGTTTGGTCTGCACCCACCCCCGAGGCGTAGGTCGGGTTTATCAAGTCCTTCCTCCCAGCCTAAGAAGCAGAAGGCACTGGCTGTATCCCGCCTGCCTTTTTCTTTTCTTTTCTTTTCTTTTTTTTTTTTTTTTAAATTTTCAGCCCTTTTTTCCCATTCCCCCTTCTGCCTTCCTTGCCTTGCTTTTCCCTCCTTCTTTATCCTCGTGCCTTTTCCCCGCTCTGTATTTTTCGCTCCTTCCCCCCTTTTCCCGCTCGGTTTGACGCGCGGGCGCCGTGCCGGGCGGGGCCGGGCGGGGCGCGGCCGTGACGCGCGGCCGGGGCGCTGCGAGCGGGCGCTATAAGCGGGCGCTGTCCGGTGCTGAAGCGGCGAGCGGCGGAGCGGCGGCAGCGCAGGTAGGCTGTAGCGCCGTCGGGATGCAGGGATGTAAGGATGCAGGGATGTAGATTGGGATGTAGATTGGGATGGAGGGAGCGCGGAGCCCCAGGGCTGCGCGGGAGGAGCCGACACCGAGAGAGCGGCGAAGTCGCACCGAGAGGCGGTGGTGCCGCGGCTGGGGTTTGCAAGGCAACGCATGTCCATAAAATGAGCCCCTATCACTGTGTGTATAGTATACATGTAAAGATGTAGGTATGCATGTGTGTATAAGTGCAGAGACATCGCAGCCGTGTGCTGACAGCGCCGGCCGGGGCTCACACGGAGCGCAGCGCTCCCGGGAGCGGCGGCGCTCAGCCGTGCCGGCACCGCGCTTCGGCGGATGGGCGGGGGGTTCCCTCGGATGCAAACACCCTCCGAGTCACTTCCCAGATGGATCCGCTTGCAAACAGTCCTTATATGCACTAGGGCTGCCGTGGGTTTGGGCTTTTAGCCTTCGTTGCTGTTTTGTGTTTTCAGTACCTTCCGCAGGGTAAAGCGTTAGAGATGCTTTTAAACAAGGCAAATTTGCTGCAGTAGTGTTATTTTATTGCAAAAAATAAGTGAGAGGAAGAGTGCATGATATATGTGTTTTCCCTATGGAAAACTGCTCTTATGTTTCACCTAAATCTGTCAGAGCGGGGACACATCTATGGGAAAAATCTATGAGTTTTCATAGCTTAATTTCACTGGAAACATTAGAGTCACATCAGAAACAACTGCCAGGAGAATGAGAGAGAAAATTACTGCTACCATGGAAACATCCCAGAAAGAAGATATTTTCTGTGTCTGTTTTTTAGCGAACTTTTTCCAGTCCGTATTGCCTTTGTATGTGTTAAATTTTGATCGTGATTGCCTCATTTTGTAAAGAGGAGCTTCTTCATCTTTATTTGTTGGCTAAAAGATTATTTTCCTGTTTGTTAGGTTCTAATAGAGGAGAAAATATGCTTTCCATCTAGACTGGCTTCACAGTTATCGATCTGGAGACAAAAGAGCTGTTTTAGCATATTGTCCTTTGAGAGGCACAGGAGAGAATGTTTACAATATTTCCTAAAGATAGGCTAAAATGTCCTGTTTTAAAAACAAATGTGGAATTGAAGTCTGAAAGACTGAGGAGGAATCCTCTTGCCTTGGATAGCGCAGTATATTTAATGATTTATGACCCGAACTCAGAGCTAGTAAAAGATATCATTCCCAAATCTGTTTGACAAGGCTTTCAAATATCATCTACCTATTAATTAGAAGTAAAAACTGACCTAGAGGCAAATGCACACAAAATATGGAGCGAGCAGGCAATAATCTGTTATTCCTGCAGAGGAAATACCCAGTTGAGCAACATCCTTGTGGAGCACTAAACTAAACTTTGCCTGGCTGCACACATTTTGTTTTTAGTGGGATGCTGACAGCTCTTGCAAAGGCTGTAACAATCCAAATTGTGTGCAGCGAAGGAGGGTGAGTTCCTGGTCTTTGTGATTGGGAGGTGCTTGGCAGATGATGATAGAATGACTCTCCCTTCCCCCATCCCTTGGAAAGGACAGTTTCTCATGTGCTGATTGAATGAACTTTGTTAATAACCAGTCTCTGCTGAAAAAGAAAGTCTTAATTTCACTAATTTGCTGCAGAAATAGAAAATTAGGTGATGTTTGGTTGTTTGGTTTATTGTTTTTTTTTTGTTTTTGTTTGTTTGTTTTTTTAACAGATATATACATATATGTACAGGGCTAATGCCTTTTCTGTGACAGAAAATGAAGCAATGTGTTGGCTTTGACTCAGGGCAAACTCAGATCCGGAGGGTGGGACTGTCTAATTAGCTGTTGAACTAATCATTTGTGAAATCAATGCTCAAATGTATCCAGGCTTGAAGTCAGAAATGTTTGGGGAAATTGTTTGCTATTACGCCTGTTAGCCTGCTCATGCATACTGAAGGGGGAAAAATAAGCAGCTCACTGAACTGATAGTGCCTTAATTATTTAGTTAAGTCACATTAAGGACAAAAATGGAGTGGAAAGATCTACAAGTGAGCTGAGATGAATGTATTCATGCTCACTTTCTGCTTCCAGCAGTGGGTAAACACGGGTGTGCACAGCTCTTTCAGGCTCTCGTGAACCACCAGAGTCTCAACAGGATGCTTTTACCAAGCCAAAAACCAAAGGAACCAAAATAGGTCAATTAATCAAAGCAGTTGATATCTTTATCGTTCCTTTCTCATTATTCTAATTTATTTGTTAATGTAACTGGGTCAGAAAAGTCTCATGTGTCCCGTGGCCCCAGTGTGCCAGTGCCTGAGCGTGTCCTGGGGAAAGACCGATGGCAATTTCCCCCTGTGCCGTGTGGAGGGTGCCCAGCTCCCTGCAAGGCTGGGCTTTTGCAGCTGTATCCCCATGCACAGGGATGCTGTAATCATCTTCATTCTGTCAGAGGTGTATTTTCCCCAGTTCTGTTCCAGAGTTTATTTTTGTCTGGTGTAAGCTGGGCTGACGTGGGCTTCTACTGATCTAGTCTAACCAAATCTGCCAATGGTCAGGTTTCTGTCCTGGGACCTGATTCAATTTCTGCTGGAGTGAATGAGTAAGCAAATGAATGAAATCACCACTCAGAACCTACCTACTTGAGCTCATTTCCAAGATGGCCTTTCAAGGATTCAGTAAAATTATTTTATACCTTTAGGATAAATTATATTTTTCCTCTCATAAAAGAGATCATTGCCCTAGGAAGATGAATCATAGAGTAATTAACTGATATTCCCTTGTAACACAAATAATTTTTTAAAATGAAATATCATAGTAAAGGAAATAATAGTTTCAGTACTATCAGTGCTGACATAAATAAACTTGCAAGTAATTTTATATGTCATGTTTTCTTCATCACATTCATTTTATTGCAGTTTAGCACCATTGAGCAGTATTGTCCTGGTATGAAATCGGATGCCTTATGGAGCAATCTCACCAAATATTTCTGTCTGTAGTTTTAATATTAGTATTTTGAGCAGCATTTAAATGTATGGATACACCAATTTTGTCATTTAGGTGCTTTGTTCTCATGATCAAAATGACATCTAGGTGTGTCTGTGGGTACTTCATGAGTTATACAGGATTGGTATTTTGTACTTTGGTGCTGCCATTGGACAATTAATGCTCACAAATTACATGGAGCATAGAGATAAGACATTTCTTGCATAGCTCTGTTTCCTAAGCCTGTCTCCATGTGTTAACAGCTTCTTTTTTTCTTTCTTCTTCTTTATTCAAAGGAAATATTTTAATCATGGCAGAAAGTAAAACCTTCCAGCCTGGAACAGCCTGTGCTCTCACCTTTTTCTTTGTCCTGATCTGTTGGGTTGATGCAGCCTCCTTCCAGCAGCACCAGCTGCTTCAGAAAGACCCAGACTATGCAATGAAAAACTTACAAAGGCTCCCAAACCCTGATATGATCAAAGCCCTGGAATACATAGAGGACCTTCGCAAGCAAACCAACAAGGGAGAAAGCAGCCCTGACTACAACTCCTATCAAGGTGTCCCGTTCCTCCTCCCACAGAGAGAAAGCAAGGACCAGCTTCACCTCCCGGATGGTGTGCGGGACTCTTTGACTGAAGATGAGTCCCAGTGGGTTAAGGTAATGCTGGAAGCCTTGCGGCAAGCCGAGAAGGAGTCAAAAGCTGGCCCAAAGGAGAATAAACCTTACGGTCTGAGTTCAGATAACAACTTTCCAGCTGGAGTAACTGATGATTACGAGGCTTACAAGTGGCCTGAGAGGTGGCAGAAGTACCTCAAGATGCCGCTTGGGCACTATGAAGAGAGCTCAAGAGACAGTCCCTTCAAGCGTACCAACGAGATCGTGGAAGAGCAGTACACCCCCCAGAGCCTTGCCACGCTGGAGTCGGTGTTCCAGGAGCTGGGCAAGATGGCAGGACCCAGCAGCCACAAGAAAGAAAGGCTGGATGAGGACCAGAAATTGTATACAGATGATGAAGATGATGTGTATAAAGTGAACAATATCGCCTATGAAGATGTGGTTGGAGGAGAAGATTGGAATCCCATAGAGGAAAAAGTGGAAAGCCAAACCCAGGAAGAGATAAAAGACAGCAAAGAGGAAATTGATAAACATGAAGAGGAGATTGACGATGAAATGAAAAGATCAGGAAAACTCAGCTTCCTTGAGGATGAAATAAGAAGAGAAAATAAAGATCAAGTGTCAGAGGATGTTTCAAAACTAATGAATTACTACCTGAAGAGGCTGATGGGTAGTACTGGGAATAGGAAATTAAGGACTGGAGGAGAACTTGAGGAAAAAAGAGCATCCATGTTTTTGGATAAACAACTTGATCCTCAGGCTATAGCTCAGCTGATAGAAATCTCAAGGAATTTGCAAATTCCTCCTGAGGATTTAATAGACATGTTGAAAGCTGGAGAAAAAAAGCAGCTTCAGAGCGAAAGGTTGGAAGCTGAACAGGAAATGGAATTCCCAGAAGACCTCGACGAGATAACTGAAACCAATCTGGGACAGAGTGATATATTTAAAAATAATATAAACTCTAAAAACGGGTACATGAAGCAGCCTCTTATTCCAGAAAATCTACCTGAAGACCTCAATATTGAAGATATTGTCAGCCTTCTGGGAAATGACAACTTAGCTAATCAGAATCCCTCCTACTTACTAAATCGTCTTAATCAAGAAAATGATTTGCCAAGACTGTCTTACATTCCCAGAAGATTGAAAGGACACCTGTTCCCTAAAGCTGCCTGGATGAACGACTTGGAAAGGCGACAAACGGAGTACGAGAAACTGAATGAGAAGGATGAAGAGCTGGCTGATTACTTGGCAAAGGTGCTGGCAAAATACCCCGAGGTGATCAATACCAACCAGATGAAACGAGTCCCGGCTGCAGCCCCGGAGAGCAGCCTGCAGGAAGAGGAGCACCTGGAGCAGGCCATCCGAGAGCACCTAAACCAGCTGGGACCACAGGAGGCTGCCAAGCTGGCTTCGCTCAGCAAAAGGCTCTCCATGGCCGGGGAGGCTGATGACACACAAAGCAGGCAGTACCTGGATGAGGATATGCTGGCAAAGGTGCTGGAGTATCTAAAACAGGAGAAATCAGAGCTTGAAAGAGATCACATCACCAAGCGAGCAATGGAAAACATGTGATTGTTCCCCAAGTATTATTTCTCTTCAATGTGTTGACTTCTATCCTGATTCAGTTGTGATTTATTCCTGCTCTCACACTAAACAACCTATGGTAGACTATTTACCATTGAACAGTCTGCATATCTTTCTCAGAGCTGTTATATTGTTTATTGATATATGTTATAAATTATGGGGCAAACAGCAAATTGCTTCAAGTGTTTTAAGAAACAATTTAATGATATCAAGTAAAAGTATAACATGTAAACAAATGACCTTTGCATTGTTAATAAAACATGATAAATGAAGAGTGACAATTATAATTTGAAATTTTTAAGATTAATTGGATTATTTTGTTACTGTCTGTAGTGATTTTTGTGCAGTATCAAATAAAAAATAAAGCATTATATATATATAGTTTTATTTACAAGGCTTTTTCTATTCAGTGTTTTATTGTTGATGAATAAATTATTTCTGGACAATCGACTTTGTTTCTTTGTGACAGTTGATAAAGTCATTCTAATTAGAAACATATTTTTACTTCTACAGATGACTCTTCTAAAATATATTATTTTTCCTACAAATTAAGTTGTAAGCATAAACTTGTGGTTTTCTGGGCCATAAGAACATCAACTGGTGTTACCCGTAAGGGCAGGGGGTACCTAAAGAGCTTGCTGGAGTCAATCCATGTAATAACTGCATTACCTACAGCTGAAAATTTGGCCTCACATAATTAAGAGTTATATCAGTAACTATGGGCAGCAGGAGGAACATAAATTATCTGTCCAGCTGGGACAGGCTTGATGATGAAGCTCTGAAAAAAACCAAAATGGAACCTTCCTAGGTGAGCTCTGGGAAGCTCTGCAGACAAGTCCCCCTCCATCTCTCACAATGACAACCACAAACAAAGAGGCAGGCTCCAAGGCTAGGCAGGCAGGGAACTCTCCTGGGGGGAACAGCGTTGGTTTGTCTGATGAAAATATTATTTTCTTCCCCATGAAATGACCATTACGTGTCACATAAATACACAGAAAACCTTTACTATTCAGCATACTATCTGGACACTTGAAATGTCTCTTGAGCTCCTGTTATGACCTGCAGTAGGTGTTCAGGAAAGGTTCTGGCTCTTTTGCAGAAGGAAATGTGCTTGCATAACTCTGTGAGTCAGAGGTGGTTTTCACTGGGACAGCTCATTTCCAGGATTATCATTTAAAAATGGTTTTCCCTGTGGTATTCTGCAGCAGCTCATCTGGGCTAAGTGGGGTGGGGATGATTCTTGGCAAGGCAATGTCTAATGAAGTACAAAGGCTGCAGAAATAAAACTTCATCTTCAGTGTCGCCATTACCCTGAGCATTCACAGCAGCCAGGAGCTCAGCCCCTGTTCCAGCCATTGTTCCTTGAATGCACATCAGACAATAACATGTCTGATTTTCCAGGGATGCATAGGACCTGGAAGAGATGTCACACATGGTGACACATGACAGGTAGGAGTCCCTGAGCATCATTCCCCTCCTGGCATAGCCCGCAGCACTCCCTTGCCCAGGCTCCTGAGGTCACCAACGCCCTGGGGAGCTGTTTGACTGCCTGCAGGCTCCTACTCAGGGAGAGCTCAATGACAGTTTTGGATACCAGAATGATTTTGGATCTGAGAAACCAGTAGTACAAACCTATGCATAAAAGGACAGATGCTGTCAGACACTGTGTGGAAGAGGAAATAAGCTTTGGAAAATCCTAATCTTGGCATGAGTAAATACATCACTTTTTAGAAGAACACCTCACTCACAGTGTGTGGAAGCCATTAGGGACTTTGTGGTTCATCTTCACAAATAAGAAAAGGGGAGTTGTACTTGAAATAACAGAACTTTGTCTAACAGAGCTGTGTGGAAGTATCAAGCTGATTGCAAGCTAAGAAGTTACATCAGGACTTTTCCGTCTTCAAGCCACAGTAAGCAGACAACTAACCTCCCTATGAAGGGCTTTATTTCGAACTCATCTCCAACTCTATATTGGAATTATATGAAATGAGAAAATATTAAATAGGCAACACTCTCCTGGTAGCTATAGCTGCCTCTTGCTATGCAACCAGGGCTCCTGCAGCAGAGCAATAGTTATACCTGAATATGCAAGACAGCATTATCCAAATGTACATCCCATCATGAGATCTGCTCCATTAAACCACTCCAGAGCCTCCCCCTGCAGAGAGGCTGTGTAGTACTTAATTGTTCTTAATAGCCATGGCTGCTTCTGCTTTCATTTGTCTGTGGTTTGTGTTTTCCTTATGGGTGCAGTGGGACAAACAGTCATGTTGTTAATAATGCACGCAGAATGCATAATCCATAACAGATACACTATCAAGATTATTACTATAATTGTATACAAGATAAAGTGACCACCCTGCAATTTTTACTTGGCTAAAGTGAGGAACAGATTTTTAATTCCCTTTTTGTGTTATGATTTGACAGCATCCCAGATGCAGCTGGTTTATACTCTGTGTCAGTGGCTTTTGTCCAGCAAAGAAAATGTTTCTGCTCAAATCTTCCTCCTAAAACTTACTTCATTGTGTCCTCATATTTAAGGTCCTCCCCAACATGCAGATTGAACAGAAATTCTGTATTTGATCCTAATACATCAAGCTACTGAACAGCTTCCTCAGGATCTGAGGTAGTTCTTCTTTGTACATACCCTAGAATTCATTTATTAGTACCCATAAGAGTAAATGCTGTTTTGTTTTTTTCATTAATTCATATGCTACTGCAAGTGCTTTGTTTACATCTGCCTCTTGATGATTCCATTATTTTGTCAGCTGGAGCTCTTAAATGAGAACACTTGTTGATTCAAAAATTAATGTAACCAAATTACCTCGACTGGAGAAATGAGATTGCAGCAATTATTTCCTTCTAAAAGGGTATTTCCACGGTGCAGTGGAGGGGGTTGAGCTGCATGTAATGTGACAGTTGTAACTGTTTCCCCAAGCACTTTACAAGACACTTGTTTTGCAGGAGGAGTGACATAAGCCATGATTTTCTTAACACGACAAAGGGGAGCCAAGGCTGGAGCCCAGGCAGCCTGAGCTGTGCTTTGTCTCACAGCTCCACTCTGCCGCTCTTGCTGCTACTAATGAGAGCACTACCGATCCAAACCTGCCCCTCCAGACACACCTGAGCAGCCCACCTCCCCTTAGCCAGGTGACACATGGCATCGCAGGAGCAGAGCAGCTCTGCGGGGCGCGCAGTCGTGGCTGCAGCGTGGGAGCAGCATTCCTTGGAGCATCCCGCACCTTCCCCCAGGCTCCACGGCTCTTTACTCCGTGCTGCACAAATCCATACAGGCACAGCTGGATGTCAGCTGCACTCTGCGTTTGCTCAGCTGCCCAGGCGCCTCCAAGGAGGTTAATGTGAGCTACAGGAGCTCCAGTTAGCAGCAGCAGGCAGGTGCAGAGCCTCTAGTGCATAAAGTGGAAAGGAGAAGCCCTGAATCACAGCTGATTAGCTGAAGAGCCATGTTATTCCTGACTTTTGGATCATTCAAAAACATTTGAGATCGTTAATAATTCATTTGTAGATGTAGCAGAGCTCTAAACGCGGCTGATTAAATGCATTTGACGTTTCTCTTGAGAGAGGCTGTTATTCCAGGAAACCACTTGGTATCTGCAAATGTCTTGGAATTAGTGTACTCAAAATTACAGGTTCACTCACAATGTTTTCCCTTGTAAAGAAAGGAAAGTGACCTCTGATTCCAAATGTAATGTACCCTGGTGAATAACTGTGGCACAATTATTTTAGTAGTTCCCCCCAGCCACTCAGCAGATCTGCTGTATAATGGCATGGTCCAACATGCAGAGCTCTGCCAAGACAAAATCCTGCAGCCCATGAGCAAGGCAGGTCCTCCACACCTGTGGAAGAAGATCTTAAAAAGGGATTGTTTGGCAACTGCCCAGCCCCTACAATTGCTGCTCAGTGATATGCTTCCCAAAACCCTTCCTGGCATCACCTGAAAGTAGAGCCCCATGCTTTATCCTGGCATAGAAGCCAGGCTCTCATGGAATGCCTTGGTGGGAGTGCCACAAAACCTCCAGGTCCTCTGGGCTTGATGAGCAGGATCCAAGACAGGATCTAAAGGAAATGATGGGCTTTACACCACTTCTGTGTGTCCCTGATTATGTCAGCAAGTCTGGGTCCAATGGGTTTGTTTGGCTTCTTGCTTAAGTTAGAATAAATCCGTTCAGGTGTAGCTGTGGGGTGCATTTTGTGCCACTCCATTTAAATGTTTAATGAGAACTAAGTGCTTATGCAAATTTGAGCACAACTTTTTCAAGGGGGTCACCCACACCAGGGCAGTTCTCCTACTGCTCTGCAGTCACCACCATTGGGACACCTGATCTGCTGGAAGCAGTGGGATCTTTCCCTGACAGAACTTTGCTCAGGGTCACCTTGGGAAAGCCTTTTTTGGGTTATTTTCCTCTTGCCCTAAGCTCATGCCAACACACAGAAAGGAGGGGCACAGCATCTGTCTGTTCAGCTCTCCAGGTGAAACATATGGTCATTCTTTATCATCTATTAAACTCTTTCCAAAATTATACTTCCTTTAAGTGGATCATTTTTTCTAGCTCAAATTTTAGATACCATTTAGTTTCACATTGTACATATCTTGAGCCTGAACACAAAAAGGAACCTTCCATCCCCATTTTCTCTCTCCTCTTTGACCTAAGAGAAGGCATGAGACTTCTTGGATGAGATGCAACATATAATTTCTGCAAAGAAACACATTTTTACCATGGCTACATGTTTTGCCACCTGCTAATAAATGTCACAGCAGCACAACAAACCACTTAGATCTTGTACTCTCCTATTCAGTGTGTAAGAGCCAGGCCAGGAACAGCATATACACACAGAGAAAAAGGTAAAAACAAAGATAAATCATTAAAACATTCCTTTCTTATTATTAATTTAGCATAACAACAGGAGATGTGTTAAATCCCTGCAAGTAAATTTTGGGATGGAAATATAATCTGACAGGAAAACTGTTTTCTGCCATGGAAAATTTACTCAGATCCAGCACACTATCAATTGATTTTTTTTCTTACAAACATGAATGCAACAAGGTAGAAACTTTTTGATAG